TCAAATATTATGCGTTGTAATGAGATGATCAGTCGTTGAGAACGTGGTTTTCGGCGACCAATGGTATTTAAGGATGGATAAATTATCTTTAAAATTCACAATGAAGCAAAGCTACGCCAAGGATTTCTTACCAATGAGGCCGTAGGAGAGGACGTTATTGACAGAAGTAAGGGCGAGGCCTGTGATTGGTCCAGTTGTGTCTTCCGAGCGTACAACTTCCAGGAAGGGTCTGAGGAAAATATTGGGTTCAACATCTGAAAGTTCTGCAAAAGACGGACACACAAAAGAGAAAAAAAATATATATGTCATACGTTGTAGTAGAAACGTAGAATCGTTGCATTGGAAACCAACTCCTGATGTTAAAAAAAAAAAAGGGAAGAAGAAGAAGTCAAATGTCATGTCATCTTTAGGTTGAAACTGAGATCATAGGATTGTCAGGACAATATGGTCAAGAAAATAAAAAACAGGTAAAACAACAAAAGGGAAATTCAGTGCAGTCCCTTTGCTGCTGGGAAATGTTGTTCCATAGGAACGTTTGACACAGCAATACCATGAGGATTATGGGTATCTCAAGAGCAGCTCCAGTTCAGGCAAAAACAACATTGCTGACATTAAAAGCATACGGAACAGTGTTGGAGCACCTTCCAATGTGAAGGCTGTGGTTTACATGCCATACCCAAAGTCCCTGTAACTTGTTTAGCAAACAAATACAGAATAATTTGACATTTTTTTATGGTCCCTTTGTCACATGCCAGGTCTCATATGAACTTTGTGGAAAAGCAAATCTTTTTCTCAGAGATTCTTTAAATATTTTTTCACGTGTTCCTTCAAATGTATGTATATTTTTACTGAACACATACAGAGTTAGTGCTGCATGCAGTGAGCACCTTACACGTGCAGACAGCACGTATACACTAGCTGCTACAGAGACGCCAGACGAAAACAGAATTTTGTTGAAACAGCTTATTTCAGCTCATATTTCAGGCGAAGAAAAGCTGAATGTCGGCAAGTCAGAGCAACATTTTCCAAAAGTCTGAATTTAGTGGTTCACTAACAAAAACACAAAAAACTGAAAATTAAAGAAAATGTCAATGTTCCTGGCAATAATGACATCCTCAATTATTTAAATATTGTCCAAAAAGCATGGACATTTTTACAGTTTTACATCCATTAAACATAAACCATATTTTGGATTGAAGCGACAGATGTTTGAAGTTCCCAACCACAGTTTACTTTTGAAAAAAGAGAAGCACAAACTTAATGAAGATTAGAAAGTGAAGCTGCTCCGTTGGTTCAATCTGACCATCAGTTTCCAGAAAACTTTCTTAACAAGGCTTTAGTGTCCCATTACTTTACAGTGGGGAAAAAAATATGTCTTGTCTGTGAGCTGAGATGGCACAAATGAATCTGTCAATAGATCCTGATGAAGTCTTCATCACCGACGATCACCCTGTAAGTGCCGTGGCTACGTTTCCAAAGACCAGAGATTGGAAAACTCAATTGTGTTGTATTGATCCGACCGGCCATCAGTGAACACAGGGCCGTGTGGAACGCTCTGTCATTGGCCACAACCAATCTTCTTAAATAAAGTCTAAATGCAGGCTCTGGACTCAGACTCAATCTTCAGGGCTTCTGGAGTAAAATAAATAAAGTGCTGCAGCCATGACAAGGTAATCACTCTATACCAGGATGACCTCCGGATGACATTGACCTCAGGTAAATAATAAATAAAAAGAAGGTGTAGATGTGTCAACCTGTGGGATATAAGATCTATAGTTCTGTTGTTTAGTTTCAGAACATGAACAAGTCCAAGTCATGTTAACTTAAATCAACAGGAGATGATGTCAAACAACGGACACAACCATTAATGTTGTCTCTGTCCACTGATTTAGGTCATCTTCAATAAAATCTGTAAAAAATACATTTATAAAAAAACATATTTATAGAATATGAGTGGAAGACTGACACTGGTGTCCCAAATAATTGTTTCAAACTTTTCGGTACATGAACAGCCTTCAGGAACGAAGGTTCAACAACCGAGGTTACATGTATTCTAAAAGGTGTGTGGAATGAGCTTGTTACAATGCACCACAGGACTAATCCCATCTACCTCTGTCACGCTGCAGCTCCATCTCCATCTCTCTGCTTGGATCTGTAAGTGCCAGACTTTAGCCATGTGCGGATTACCTCTCTAAATGACCCCACCAAGGACAGGGAGAAGGGGGGAGCAAGGTGAACCTTTGCCCCCAGGAGAGCGCCTCCAGATGAGGCAAAGGCCATCTTTAACACATGCACATGTATTGGCAGTGGACCAGAAAAGGCTTAGGAGACGGAGAGCAACAACAGAGCAGTAGAAGAACAAGAACACCTCACCAGGAGAGGGCCATTCAAATAAGATCGTAATAAAAATGAAGTCATCAATTCATCCCCACTACAAAAGTAGCAGAAGAATGAAAGGGAAGAAATATATTTTAAAATCCAAGCCTTTAGCTGCAGTCAGACCTTAGATACATTTTTAAAGCCTAAAGAAATTAGTGACTTTTTTTGTGAATATCACGACTTGAGGTGAGTCCTGTTGCCTACTTTGAAAACTGCGCAGCTCAGGTCCATTATACAGCAGCAATTGGTGAATAATTTAGAACATCACTTCCCTAACTAATAAAAAAGCCATTTAAAGAGAACGTGACCAGATGATGAAAGTGCTCAAATCAAAATCCAATTATCTTAATGAATGTGGTAGTAAAAATGAGGTTAAAGGTTAGTGTTGGAGAAGTTCCACCTCCTCATATATAAATGTTTCAACATCCTGGTCTTTAACAGCATCAGTTTCATTTTTCTCCTCAGTTTTGAGCTTCCTTTTTTTCTAAAAGGGGTTTTAATTCAGTTATGTGTTACATGGAGACAAGCACAACTAAAAAGTCATAATTAAAAACCAATGACCATCAAGAACCAGGAGTGTCACTAGCGAGCTTCCATGAATCATTTTTACTCAGACTATGGCTTATTCTACGATTGTTTTTTGCCCATGTGAACATAGCTACTGACACCAACATTTAACACTCACACTTAACTCCACCTGCAGCACTGGTGCAGAAGAGTAGAGGGTGAAGAGCAGTGGATGAGGGACAGGTGAGGTCGCTCTCCTCCCCTTTGATCGACGCAGTGGCCCAAAACCAAACACTGATGGTTATTGATCTGAGCTTCTACGGCTGCTAAAATTAGGAGTCGGAGTGCCTGGTGGCAGCATCGGCACCGTCAGCACCGAGGAGCGCTTTAACAAGAGCAGCGAGGCTAAATGAAATCCTGGGAGGATTCCACTCTTCATCTGTCCAACAACGTCCTGCACAACAGTCTTCTTATCCATCTGTCAGGAGAAGCTGGATGAGCGTCAACCATCATCCACCTTTGGCTTTTCACTCCAGATTTATTTTTTTATTTTTTATTTATTCATTCTATGCCTCTCTTTTCTACTGAATAAAAAAAACATTTGGATCCAGGTTGGTAATTAAGATTAAACAATTCTACTGTCATTTCAATGGACCACAGTGGTTTATTACAGATGTTGGGAACAAAACTGTAGCACACACCAAACTGGAGGCTTGAAAACCCTAGAGAAATTAAAACTTTCCCAGTGAATGGAAGAAAGAATAAAAACTGACATCATCACCCCAAGAGCTGCACAGTAAAATATATATGTAGCACGTATATATTTACACGAAACACCATTAACTGTGCAAAGACGCAAAAAGAATGGAAAGTATGCACGTTTAATGCCTTCAATTTCTCATACACTTTTTTTTTATTTGCAAATTTATCACAAAAAACTTAACTTGATCAATTATTGACTTCTGTTAAACAACAAGACAGAAAAACTAAACTTACTATTAGCACAAACCTGTACCAACAAAAGTGCTGCAGAACATATACAGAATTAGTGATTTTACATCTAATCACCAGGACAAATGCTTTGAAAAAGAGTGATAATTGACTCTCAATGTAATTCAGAATGTAGCTGCATTCAGGACAAGGAAACATTTTTCACAGACCATTTTTCAGAACCCATTTTGTTGACCTTGGCTTGTGACTCCTGCTGCAGTTATATTTCAACTCAAAGTTGCTGAAATCCCTCCATGCATTGTTAAGTTCCTCTGTACACACATTCAGGAATTCTGTGCCTCTATAGATTTTGTCACATCTAAGAAAACAACTCTGTTGATGTCATTAGACTTGAGCTTGGAGACCCAGTGTTTTTCAATTATTTAGCATTGAATACCTTTTTTTTAAATAAAAATCTTGGGGAGAATAATAAGTAATTTTGCGGCAACCTTCTTCTCAAGTGCTATGAAATGTCAATATTTAATTTCAGCAAAAGAATACAGTACCTGGGAGAACACAAAGTCCCTGAATTTTTAACAGTAAATCAACCAAGATACTCTGTAGGCTGTGACGACAGTTCCCTTTCTGCTGAACTGTATGGCACCTTAAATAAAGAGTTAAGCTGGTAAAAATAAAGCAGGTGCGTTCAAAGGGCATGACTTCATTGGTAGAGCTGGTCTCGACTGGAGCCTGCCAGATTTGCACCTGTTATCCCCTGACATAAAAATTGCATTTTTCCCTGCTGCATACTTCATGTGTTCCACACTCACTGTCTGTTCCCTCTGTCGTGGATTAACAGACTGTATCCTCTATGTCATTTATCAATAATCCACCTCTAACACAGTAACAGCACTGTGTCTCTGATACGTCGCCGTGAACTGACAGTAATTATTGGATTAATGCAGTGCAATGAAAAGCGACAGAGGTTCGTTCAGTCAGTCTAGAATGCAGTGTAAAATGCAGTGACCATGTGATTTGCACCGTAATAAGACTTTATTGACAATTCATTTGTGTCAATGTTTTCCAATTTTAATGTGTGTTTAAATGATTTGGTCTAATAGACCTCCTGCCTTTGCCTAATTAAAATTAATCTAATTCAATTAATTAAACGCATTTAACACTTTAAGAAGTCTGACAGTCTGAAAACATTTTTTTACTATTTTCAAATACAAAAAGCTGAAAGCCGAAAGAAAAAGTGTGAGATGTTGGAAAGGAAGAGGAAGAATGCAGCCGACAGTGGGAGAAAACTGTACAACTATGTGCATGTGTGTATTATGGTCCTTATTTGTTACACCTGCTGCACTCCTTCAGCTCTCCACTAATGGCATTCCCACGGGGAAGAAGAGATTCCAGAAAGCAGGCACTACTGGTCCGACTTACAACAACC